CCCCCCCCCCCCCCCCCCCCCCCCGCAATTCAGTTACTTCCCCAAATATTCATGATTCCCACACCTGACTCCTCCACTCTCTCCTTGCCACCTGGCAATTCTGTTACTCACCCTTAACCTTATTTGGGCCTCTCATTTCCGTGGCCTATTCCCCTATCTGTCTCATTACCTCTCTCCTTTGATAAATATTTACTATGGGCCTATCACATTTTAAGCAAACAAAGTCAAACTACGAAACAATTTCAACAAGAGTTTACCTCATAGTATAATTCTACAAATTCACGTTTGTAGTTGTTTTCAACATCCCATGACAAAGGCTGATCTTCTGCAAATATGTTTGATAGCTAAGGCTGTACATAATTGATAAAACATTCATTCATCTTCATAAAATTTCACATATATATTATGAGTATAAACCACTTCACATAAAAGGATATCATATCAAGGTGAACCGAAAACATGTCAGTCTCGCAGAAATCCTCAATGAAGTCACTGGACATAACCTCTGCGTACAGAAGAATTACAGGCCAGTGAAGAATATTACTTTTATCCAACACAGGTTTCCGTAATCCAGTAAGTTCTCGGTACACTGCCTTTCCAATCTTCAAGCCTCTATATTCTATCGCAGACACAAGTTCCTGCATAGGTTTTGTTTCAACAAGGACATGAATCTCCATATAACCAAAACATATATTAAAACCAAACACACAAGAAAACAGTTCAAAGTCAAACTCCATACTTTTGCCTCTGCAACAGCCTTGGAGACCTCAGCCTCATGCTTTTCCTTTTCTGATATCTTAATTCCAATCTGTTGTTCAAGCTTCTTCAATTCCTCATTATTGGGGTCCAAGTCCAACTGAAGACCCTTCAGACAATACTCTCTAGCTTCAACCAACATATTTAGTGAAAGAGAAGCTTTGGCAGCTCTATAAATTGCCTAATCACATTTGGCATCACTTTGAGACATCAACTCAAACAATTACAAAATTACAAGGAACAAACAAAAACATCCAACACACATACCTTTAAATTTGAGGGGCACAACTTGAGGGCCTCCTGAGCATCTGTGAGAGCACGTCTAAGATTTCCTAGAAGCAAATTCACATGGGCTCTATTTGAAAAAAGAATAGAGGTCTCAGAATCACTCAAGGCTTTCTGATTAATTGCCTTTGTGTAGCAATCAATGGCATCAGAGTAATGCTTCTTACCCATCTTCACATATTGGTTGCCCTTTTCCTGAAATTGAAAGGTGAAGTGAAATCAAAAGCAAAAGAGAGAAAAAAAATGTTTTTTAAGTGTTCGTTCTCAAAGCATTAGCATACCTTGAATTCAAAGGCTGCAGACTCTTTGATTGCAGCAATGGCTTCAAGGTCTGCCTTCTCGCTTTCGGTTAAGGGCTCCGAACCCTTTTCCATCCATAGCGCCATTTTCACCTCCTTCGGCTATTGCCTCTCACCAATCACAGACAAAGCTTAAAGCCTTAAACTCTTTTCCACGGTTTTTTCTCCAGATTTTAGAACACACCAGAAACACTTACCATGTACTATGTAGTCAAAATATTAAGGTTTAGTACTTCACCCCTCAACTTCTATATTTTTTTTCTTTCAAAAAAACACTCTTTTATTTATTTATTTATTTTAGTTTCTTCTACACCATTTTGAGTTTTTAGTTAGTAGCTAAATTTTAAAAAATAAATAAATTGGGTCTTTTATTTTTATAATTTAATTCTAGGTCGGTTTATAATTCATAGAATTTAACCTAATATTCTTTATATTTTTATATTTAGAGTCTACTCAACTACATCAAACTTTATTTTAATTTTATTTCATAAAAATTTTCAAACTTACTATAATAAAGATTAATTTTGTTTACACTACTTTAACTGTCGCTTATTCGATAAGCTTTTTATAGAAATAATTATAATTTTTTGTTAAATAAATTGTCTTCTCACTGTGTGAGAATATTTTGTTAAATAAATTGTTTCTTTACTGTGTGAGGATATAATATCTAATTATGTCAACATAATATCAAGTTACGATTTTTATATCAATTTCATGTATATTAAAAACAAGCATTTTTTTTATGTGAGGGCGTTTTTAAATGTTTTTCATTTGACAACAAAGTTTTTAGAATTTTTTCATAAATAAAAATAATATTATTATATAAATTATTTATCATAAATCTAAAATATAAGTTATATGTTTAAAAATATATATTTTTGTAAATTTTAAATATAATTTATATATTCAAACATAATATTCATTTGTATATATATAATTTATTATAAATTTTAGTTACATATGACAAATATTTAGCATATACATTATAAGACTAAAATATTATAACCTATAACAATTATTAGAGTTGTTAAAATGGATTATCCAATTTGACCATCATTAATTGAATAATAAATGAGTTAACTCAACCCAAATCGACCAACTAGGAGATTGTTAAGTTAAAAGGGATTAGCTCACTTAAAATAAGAATATATACGAAACAATTTCATATATATATATATATATATATATATATATATATATATATTCAAATGTATGAATACAGAACATATTATAATCTTATATGTTAGCATTATACCTATGTTAATAAAAGGACAAAAAAATAGACTTTAACCACAACCAACTTAATAAATTTATAATATCAAAATATGTGTAAAATATTAACAAAATAATATCAAATTGACACTAATCAATACGTATATATTAAACCCGAATTCTTATTTTGTGCAATAATGTTTTTAGAAATTTTTCTTCAATAAGAAGATTTTAAATGTAATGACCCACATAGCTGTCGCACAACAACAATACCACACAGAATAGAGTATGCATATAGATAAAAAATATATACACATAGGTCTAGCCTAGAGCTCAACAAGTTAATATACAAAGTTCAGCAAAATAACTACACCAAGTAGCCTATCAACAAAAATCAATCAGCTTCTGCTACTACCTGCAGTCCAGCCACTACTTTGATGCCTATCCCTACTCTACTCCCATACACAGTATGATCATTGCAGTCTAACCCACATGGAAACAAACAAGGGTAAGCTAGTGAAAAGAATCAGCATATATAAAAATTTAAACAGCTTCAACTTAACAACACATCATTAATTTCAGCAAAGTTAACATACAACACATAACAGCATACATCTACATCTCAACTTCACAACACACTGCACACATACAGCCCATATCATTCAGCAAAATCAACATTAAACAGCTTATGCGTTGTCACGCATTTCAACTCAGAGATCTCCTACAACGTCATAGTGATCAACAGCTCAGCCTTACGACCTACACAGCTCAGCCTTACGGCCTACACAACTCATGTTCAACAATACAGCTCAACTATTTTAAACAACATATTCAACACTCAACACAACTCAGCTTAACAGCATTAACAGCTTAGACAACATACAACACAACTCAACATAACAACATTCATCAGCATAAGCATCATATAGCATAAACATCATATAGCACAGCTTAACTTTACATCAATACAACATTAATCAGCATAGTTATAAAAAAAACACATCCGCGCCCAGCGCAATAGGATTTGCGCCCGGCTTGGACCAACCAGAGAGCTCCAAAGCTCTTACGCGCCCGGCGCAACAAAAGGCAGAAACTCTCAGGAGTCTCACAAGCCTGGCGTACCAAAACTCGCGCTCGGCGCAAGTAAGGCAAAGACCTTCCCAAGGTCTCACGCCCAGCGCAATACCAATTGCGCCCGACGCCACCCCTAGCAGAGACTTCCATGGAGTCTCGACGCCCGGCGAGATTGAATCACGCCCGGCGCCATGCCAGTACCCAAAATTGTGAGTCACTGTCTAATATCACGCCCAGTGCGGTTCTCCCACGCCCGACGTGAGCCATCCAGGGACTTCCATTCCCAAGCTCGCCCAGCGCAAACAACCTTGTGCCCGACGTGCTTGACCAATGGAACTCTCTGATGGTTACACGTCCGGTGCCAAGAACTATGCCCGGCGCAATTACGAACACAACCCTCAAACTTCGAAAATTTTATCCAAAACCTGCAAAATCAACCAACTCAAACACATGCAATTCATTCAAAGAATCACATTATCAGCTTACAACCCAAAAATCATCACTTTTTCAACATGCAACCATCAACACATAGAAAACCCACATTTTCACCATTTTTCCCGAAACCCTAAAAAAGAAATTTCCTTCCAATCCAACCATCAATCTTCTGAAATCAAACAAAACTTGAGTTTCTAAACTCATTTTAACCAATCCACGCGATATCTAGCTTCCCTTATCTCGGAGGAAAAGAATCCGTGTAACGACCCGCCGTGGTCCCTACACTTAATGGAATCGCATTAAAAATTTGTAACTAAGATAAATAATAAAATTGGATAACTCATAAATACAATAAGGCCAAGGGTAGATGATCGCATTTGGTCTTGGGGTCTTCATGAAAGTTATAAACTTGGATGTTAGCTTTTCAATGGCACTGGAATCACCCAAAAAATGGGTCTAAAACTCATGATAACACAACATAACCCCAGCATTTTCTCTCACTCCATTGTCATTCAAGCTTAAAAGAAACACCTAATGGTTAATCAGTGGCTAATTAAAACCTTAACTTCAGATTAGTTTAGCGATATCTGTGTAAAGAATGAACTAATCCCTTATTGTGAAGTGGACAATACCAGATTCTAAAATAATCAAAGGCATCAGCGACCATCTTTGGAGATAAATTCTTAAGCAGCATGAAACTTCAAAAATTAGACCTGGATTGTTAAGAGGCTAAAAGGAACCATTGATTTTCCATCTGTTTGAGAAACCTGCCAGTATTATACATTGACAAGTCTGTTATGTTCACGGGGATCCACTAATAAGGCAAAAACTAGCATCATAAAGTGAAGTGTTACACCTAAAATATGTACATTTTTGTCAATTTCCCTTGAAGTTCTAGATCCCTACCACAGTCGTTAGTCGCAGCAATAGGAATGGCAGAATGGATCGGTGTTGAGTTATCCTGATTCTCAGAAGGTTTCAGGATATGCTTAGCACCTGGACTAAGTTTCACAGGACCTGATTTTACCATGCCATCCAGGGGATAAGAATCAAAACCAAGATAACTTCTTGGATTTAGATTTTGAGCCTCACCCTGACAACCATTACTTCTTGCACCCACTTGGAGATCGAGTTCAACTGCTCTTGTGTTTTGCTGCAAGTTTGTCCCAGAGGTTTCTCGAGCCAGCTCAGTCATGCGAGTTACGTTTTTGTGCACTTGTATGCGAGGTAACTTGTTAGGTGTTTCAGGATCAACAAGATTATCTGCGGGTCTCTTCCTGGAATTTGTGCTTGGATGATAGTCTTTGGCAGTGATATCATCTAACTTAAATATGCTTCTACAACCATCAATGGCAGAGGGTGGTTTGGTAAAAGGGGAAACTGTAGCATGTGAAGGCTGAGAAATTGATGCTGGGTAAAACAGGGCCTTCGTGGGAAAGTCAGAAGTCACACAATTAGGAGGATACAAAAGATCTGCTGAATGATTCACAAATGGGACAGTAGAATTTCTCCATGTATTCGGAGGAAAACACGTACTAGAGGAGCTCCCTGGTATCCTTTCGTATTTTGAACCTAACGACCATGGTGGCAAATTTCTATAGGACCTCTTGAACCAAGATGATCTGGCCTGTTCTTCAACAATTGGGTGCAAGAAAGGAAATCCAAGGAATGAATTTGTGACACGATGGTGCTTATTCCAGGCATTCAGCTCACCGTTGCTTGAAGTAGACTGATTGAAATCGCAAGGACTAGATGGTATCTGAGAATGAAAGAAGAATCCTTGAGGTGCTCTATTGTACATTGCACCCGAAGGAGGCGCTTGGGTAATAGGATGAAAATTAGAACTAGCATTTCTGCTGACTCCATTTTGGGATATAAATAAAACACAACTATTGTATTAATGAAAACAAGTTGTAGTCAAATGCGAAGATCTTTTGCAATTTTGTTTTTTCTTTCTTGTTTTATATAAAGGACAATGAAGTATAATATTTAGATTGATCCTCTCTTCTTTCACAATAGATAAAAAAAATTTGGTAGCAAATAAGTGATTTTTACCCCTCCCTCTCCAAAAAAAGTTCTACGATTCTTTGCAAAATTGTAATTAATTTTTTTAATAAAGGTGAAAAGACAATTTTTTTTCTTCTAACAATTATAGTTGAAAATATTATTTTGTAAGTTACCTTGAAATGGATGGGTGTAAGACCCGTGCCTTTTTTCGTTGTTCCTTCACACTCATTTCCTTCTATCTTTCCTTTTCCACTCACTTTTTTCGTTCGCTGTTCACCCTAATTCTTGAATTCATATAGGTGCTGGATAGCAGAGGAGCTAGAAAGCTTGACGCCCGGAGTTGATTTACATTTCCATTTTTTTCTTCTTCTTCTTCTTCTTCTTCTTCTTCTTCTCTTTCTTGTGAGCTCGGAATCGAAATTCTCCTCCCTCTGAGGTAAGAGAAGTTAGAATCTTGGGTTATTGATTGAATAGAAGCTTACAA